GTGTCAGTAGCGCCTGACGGAGCCTTCAGCGCCGGCGATGACCGTACGACCGTGAGCGTCGAGTCCGATCCAGCTGGTCGGGTCGCAGTCCCAGCCGGCATACTCGTGGCGCACCTGAGGCGGCGCATTCCCCGCCACGCCTGCGCGGTAAGGCAGTCCATCGAGCGTGGCCACCAGCACGTCCAAGTCATCGCCTGCCCGCGTGGGCGGAGCGATTTTGAGTGAGGTGATCTCAGCGTTGTTTCTGCGCCAGCTCGTGAGCAGGCCGCGGGGCGCTTGCGTGGGATCCGTGGATGCATCCTGAGCAGATGAGAGCGCACGGGTGTCCCACACCGAGACGATGCCGTTGGTGGTTGCGGTGACGACGGTGGTGTCGGCTGTGTCGATGGCAGTGATGCCGGCTGTTGATGCCTGCGTCCAAGTGTCGGCCGCCGACGGCGCCTCGCCTGGCGGGAAGGCGTACTTTGTCTGCGTGAGGCTTGCGGTGGCAGTGCGCAGGTCGAACATCTGCCAGCTGCCGCTAGCTAGGCCGGCGACAAAGGTGGTCTGCTCGGCATCGGCGCTGTCCATGGCGGGCAGCGCGATGCAGTTGACCGCCGAGTAGCGGTCGCTGCCAAACAGCCGAGTCTGCTTGGGCGCGGCGACGTCCCAGAGGCGCACCGAGCCGTCGGCACCTGCGGTGAGCAGCGTGCGCCCGCGCCCGATGATGCCCGCTCCGAGCACCGCACGCTTGTGCCCCTGGAGCGTGCGTGGATTCTCGCCTGTGAACGCGTCCCAGATGCGGCACGTCAGGTCGGACGAGGTGGAAAGCACGACGCGGTTCGAGGGGAAGAACTTTGCGAAGCGCACATCGCCCACATGTCCCTTGAGCGCCGTCTTCTTGTTCGCGCGCGCTTTGGCAGCATTAACGTGCAAGCGGATGCGCGCCTCGAGGTCCCACTTGCTCTCCTCCGGATTGGGTGCCTCGCCGGAGAGGATGTGGCGCTCGTCGTCCGTGAGAGTCTCTAGCGCTGCGGTGCGCGCCTCGTCCGCGTCGAATTGCCCCGCCAGTCGACCTGTGTAGAGCGCCCCCTCGGCTCCGCCTGCTACAAACAGGTCGCGCTCGTCGTCAGCGCTGCCGAGCGAGAGGTCGAAAGCATCGATGGAGGGGTAGTTGGTGTAGTTGTCGTTGACCTTGGACGTCGCGAGCGTGGGTAGGAAGCGGGTGAGCGACCTTTTTGCAAAGCGCACCTGCATCGCCGAGTCGAGCTCGATGGAGCTGCGCAGCGTGCGTGCGGATCTGGATTGCGTCTTGTCGCCCTGCTCGGACTGGGCGAGCTCGAGGTCCAACCAGCTCGCTGCGACCCTGTTGATCTTCAGGCCTTGCGTGGGACCGCCTGACGATTCGACGTCGCCCAGTCGCACCGCTCCCTGCGTTTCTGCATCCTTGCCGTCGTCCTTTGTGGGCACGAGCGGCAGCTTGATGTGCACGCTCGCCGAGGGTGCGTTGGCGGCGTAGTACGAGAGCCACACCTTTTCGCCAGCGACGGTCGACGACGACACGTCCGAAAACACCTCGGCGTAGTTTGGCTGCACTGACACGTAGGGTATCGCCGCCATGGTGTGCGTGCGCGAGGGTGCGATGTAGAGGACGAGGATGGACGAGGTGAGGCAAGCTGATCAAGAGCACGAAAGGCTCAGCTCGACTCGCCGCGTCAGTGCGATCCGATTCGGATCTCGGAATTGCAACGATGCTAGGATGTGGAGTTTTGGCTGGTTGAGGCGCTCCAAGCGCTCTCGACCCTCTGTTCTTCTGCCGGTGGGCTTCTTCACACTGCTCTTCCCAACGCATCAGAAGGCTGGACTGGACTGGACATTCATGTGGCTATGCTTCTAAACGAGTCGCTTGCATGGCATTCAACCTAGATGGGCTGCACGGGCCGAGTCTTTGGTCCCTTGTACTCCAGCACGACAATGTCTCCGTCGCGTCTTGGGTCTTCGTGCTTGGGCGTGTTCCAGTATCGCGCCACCTCGCGGTATCCTTTCAAACTGAGCACGTTTTGCAACGTGCGCGTGTGGCCGGGCTTGCGCGTGCCTTCGCCGAGCAGGCTCTCGAACACCACCAGGTGGCTCGGCCACGAGTGACGCCATCCCAGGTCCCACGCGTGCGTCCTGTCGCGCTCGGTCGCTGCGGGAGGCGGAGGCGGGAAGGCAGTGTCCACGTTGTACGGCAGACGCTCGACGAGGTACTTGATGGGGTCGTCGTAGAAAAAGTCGCTCTGATCCCGGTACTTTGTGGCGCGCTGCGCGGGCGTCATGCCGGATGATGCAGGAGGAGGCGGGCACTGGACGAACCAGCTGCGCTCCACGAGCTCGCGGTCGTGCAGATGCGTCGCCCACGGCGTCGAGTGGCATGGCATGAGGAAGCCAAGGTTGTGGATGCGTCCGAGGCCAGGTGCAAACTCGGCGGGCTCAGCGAGCGGCGTAGCGCTTGCATTTCGGGCGAGCTCGGCCTGCTGCGAACGGTATATCTGTCCAAGCTCGTAAGGCGCCTGTTCCTGCCCGACGCCATGGATTGTGTTGAGGTACATGGAGAGGACGGGCTGCAGCGTAAGCACCACTGCGCGCAGCCACAGCGGGAGCACGTTAAGCGCGCGCCAGATCTGCTTGAGAGCTGCCGCGGCGTCGACCGGATGCCCCTGCGCGTTGCTGCGAGTTGCATAAGACGTGACGAGGCCGGAGGCAGCCAAGATGGCAAGAGTCGGCAGGAGCGGTTGCAGGAATCGAAACTCCTTGTGACCGAGCAGCGAGTAGGCAGCCACGGTGAGCAGAACCAGACGTGCGAGCGAGCGCTTGATGCCTGTGCCCAGGCTCGCAGCTTCGCTTTGAAGCGCATCGACCAAGCCAAAGAGCGTGGCGGGAAGCCAGACCATGCAGAGCACGGGCAGTCCCTGGCTGAGGAACCAGTGCCACGGATTGGCGCCGTAGAAGAGGCTCAAATTGGCGACGACGTTCTTGTGCACAAACGAGACCAGGCTGAGCGCTGGCAGCGGAGGTCCTGGGCGGCTGCGCTGGTGCGAGAGGTAGTCGTAGGCCGTGTCCGCCGTCAAGGCCAGCACCAGTGTGATTGAGCCGATCTTGGCCACCGTGCTGGCCAGACTGGCAGCCTCGCCGACGATCTCTAGCACCGGCACGAGCGACCCGTCTTGGTTGTCGGCCGCAGTCGTACGTGTCTTGCGTGCACCGTTTGCAGGTGCAGCCTCGGATGGCGGTTGGGAGCGAAGGCACTGAAGCTGACGCACAAAGAGCTCTGATACGAGTATGATCCACAGGACGCCATTGGTGGGGCGGAGAAGGCAGGCGAATGCGGCCAGACAGAGGCTCTTGCGGAGCGAGCGATCGTAAATGAGGCGGCATACTTGCTTGACGTCCAAGTCGCGATCGGACCGTGTGGATGGGTCGAGAGGCACGCCCGCATCCTGCTTCCTAGGAGTGCCAGAAAGCATTTGACGCCACTCGCAGCCTGGGCCCTGGAGCTCGAGCAATCGGGCTTGCTCTTGCGGGCTTGAAAACGTCCAAGCATCGAAGCGGCGCGAGAAAAAGGGCACAAAGGGCCAGTAGAAGAGCGCAGCGGCGGTGAGCGCGGCTTCGGTCGAGTTGCTAAACGTGCGCGTAGCCGTAAAGAGGGTGTAGACGTTGGAAAGGCTGACTAGCATCGCAAACCATGCCAAGCGCGGGCCTCCGACTCGGTGGGCCAGTCTGAAGGTATAGAAGTCGCCGAACGCAGCCACGAGCGCCTGCTGGCAGCGCGGCAGGGCCACGAGGAGAGGAGTGTGGTCGAGGCGCGCGAGACGGAGGAGCGCATAGCCGGGCACAAAAAGCAGCGGATGTAGGATGGAACGGATGGGCGCGTGAAGCAGATTCTCGACGGCGGCGCCTGCATACGACTGCGCCGGCCGCGGCAGGGCGTGACTGGCGCCGTGCCACTCCCAGCTCTTGAATCCGTAGCCAAAGACGATGCGGTGTGCGATCTCGGTGGTCTGGTAGTGTTCGTCGGGCTGGAAGAAGGTGCGCGTGCTTAGCGCATTGAGAATGCGGAATCCCACCAAAAAGATCAAGAGGGACTGCAAACCCGAGCTGGCGGGACGAGATGGCGGAGTCGACGAGTGCGGACGGCCGCCGTGCTGTTCGGGCGCCGTTGCAGAAGCGCGAGCACGCTTGCGCACTTGCATCGTGCGACGAGAGCCGCCACTGCTGGCAGCCAGCAGAGCGTTGAGCCGAGTCGAGACGCGGGCAGTGGATGCAGATGGTGGAGGAGGAGAGAGACGCGTTGGAAGATTCGCCTCCACCTCTTTACGAAGCGTAGCCCGGCGCCGTCGACATGAATTTACTGCCAACTTTGACGCAGCTCCGCTTGGCGCTGCCGCACATGGATACTAATCTCAGCCGGATCAGGGGCAATGGCGGCAATTCACAGGCAGAAGCTTGTTTGTCAATGCGACTACGATTTAGAACAAGTGGCGTGCACTAGTCGTCTGCCTGTACCAATCAATGAATCCGAAATACAACTGTGGCTGCGACTGAACATCCTCGGCTCGGAGCACGTCATGGAAGCTCCGGTCCGTGTTGTTCTC